AAAAGTCTGTAACTAACAGGGTTACAGTTTGTAGCGTGTCGCCTGTGGTTCAGTTGTCTTCTTATGGGAGTGTTGACTCAAATGCTGCAGAAGTCCTTCAGTCACCTATCTGTCAGCATTTCTTTGTCGTGTGTCCCAGGAATCTGGCCTCCACAAGTGCGACATGGCATGTGGCACTGGGTACACACACACAGATGAGAAGAGAAAATACATGTCAAACCTGAAAAGCCTCCCCAGGTGGCTGATGTCCCTCCACAACAGAAACTCCTGAGACCCCACTCTTCCAGTTTGAAGATGAGAACTATACCGAGGACCCAGATAGTGACCCCCCAGGAGCACACTAGCGATGCCCACACATGGGGAGCTTAGGCCCAGTTTCATGTTCCTTCTTGCTGTCTCCCTTCTATGCAGAGTTTTTTTTTCCCCCTGATTCTGCAACGTGCAATGTGAAAGGAAGGTAGAACCAGACACGCAGGGTGTGGCTCCCGATGCCGCTCACGCCCTATGGGGACAGTCAGAGTGCAGTATCAGGACAGCGAGGGAACAGGAGAGGACCGACAGGTGTGGGCAGGGATGTAAAACTAGCTACGGGGACTCCCAGCATTCTCAGCGCTCACAAACAAGCTCCAATATATGGCTCTGATGTTGCTCTATAGTAGGTCAGGGGCCCAGGTAGGGGGTCTGATTCTTGGCCAGGACACTAGCTAACATGATAAGCACTAGATGGGCATCCTTTTTTTGTGGCACCCACACTGCCAGTCACACCGGCTTTTGATTACAGCACTTACCACTCCCACTGTCCATCTGGTGCTGACATAAATTACTCTAGACTCAATTCTTGACTCTGTGCTCTGAGACTCTGTCCACTTTGACGGGTTCTCTCCGAGTCCCGAGAGGAGAGGCAGGTCTGGGGCAGCAGGATCCATCCACATTCCTCCACCTCATCTCAGGAGGCCACTGGAGGATGCCTTCCATCGAAATGAGGAAGTGAATTGAGGGAAAAGGCAGAGAGCATTCCAGACAGACAGATGCGGATGCAGGACCTCAAGGGACACAGTTGCACTCCCCACATAAAAAGGGGGTCAGTGCAGAAGACCCCAAGTCATAGTGCAGCCTTGCTCCAAGTCATGGCCACCAAGCAACTGGCTGTTCTGATGTGTGGGTGCAAAATATTCAGGCGTGTCTGGTGTAGAACACACCCTGCTTCTTGGAGCACCTGAGGGTGCTGATGGTCCTTCAAACAATTGTTTCAGTGTCTCAGTGGTGACTAAGAAAACCCAAGACAGTTTTTGTCCTTTGACCAGATTTTTTTCCTAGCAGCACCTAGCTCATAGCACACACATCCTGGGGGTCTGAGCTCTTGGGAGAAGCCGGAATGCCAGAGGACTCAAACCTGGCAGCGCTTGCTCACTCAGCTATTCGGCCAGGGCTCCTCGCAGTCACCTTTCCCTACCTAGGGTGCTGTTCCCTGTGCTCCCCAGGCCCCGGGCTTCGCTTGGTAACACTCTCCCATGCACACACACATTTGACGCTCTCTGTGTTTACAGTTCACAATAAAAGCATTTTAGAGTTGAGCTTTACTCTTGGGAGATAACTCTAAACTTCCTGCTGAAATAACTGCTGAACGCGAAGTGGAGCGTGTCCTAAATTATCTGGATAATCTCGTGTCGCTGGCTGAAGTCTTAGCCCAGAGAAAGTAAACACTGGGCTTGTGAACCTTGGCAGCCTGCCAACCTTGACTTACTGAACAAATTAATCTTCAAGAACAAGGGCGATGTAGGTGCCCACTGGGGTCTTCCTAAGCACAAAATACACTTGGTGGATCCTTTAAGGTACAAAATAAAACACAAAACGGGTGGGTTTTGTGCCCACATTTTCCACCTTCCCTTTCCTTCTTGGCTTTTTCTTTCCCTGCAGCCAAGACTGTGAGCCAGTCCATGCTGCTGGCTGTTTTGCTGGGTCAACACATTACAAGAAAACGGCCCCATGGTCACCACAGGTGTTTCTGCTGTTGTTTCTTGCAGAAGGGATGGAGGGAGACCTTTATAGACTGGGAGTAAGCCAGGTGTGGTGACTCATTCCTTTAATTCCAGTACTTGGAAAGCAGAGGTAGGAGGATTTCTGTGAGTTCAAGGCCAGCTCGGTGTGCATAGTCTAGCAAGTCTCAGGACAGCCAGGGCTACATAGTATGTAGAGAAACTCTGTCTCAAAAAACAAACAAAAAAGAAAAACAACAACAACAACAGAACAAAAAAAAAGAAAAGAAAAAAAAAAAGAAAAAGAACGGGAAAAAGAAAGAAAGTCCAGAGTAGAGCTGCTCTGGCAGGAAGCATGAGCCAGTGAGAGGCAAGAGGGCAAGGGGCAAATCCCAAGAACCCCGTGTTTCTGCTCAGCATGTGACACAACTGGAAAAACTTCGGAGTGACTTTTGCTCCCTTGAAGAACTGCACCCCTCCCCCAACACATGCACCAGCATCCAGAACATTTGGGTAGCAGATTAAAATGAAGCCACCTCCATTTTTGGTGATTCTAATTTTTTTTTAAATTATCGCCAGGGTAAAACATTGAGTTCATAGTCCACCTCCAAATTGAAAGTAGAAGCAGGTCAGACAGAACTGGAAGTGGGAGGAGAGACTTCATTAGTTTGTTCAACAAATATTTAGTGACTGGCCGCTGAGGTGCTCGGCGGCAATGGAGCTACATAGCGAAGCAAAGTTCCTCTCTGATGGGCCCTTCTCCCCGGGGGAGGGGAGAGAAAGGAAAGAGGAAATGTGTGTATAGATATGTACAGACACATATGTAAAACGCAGCGAGTGTCACATGTGGTATGTACCGTGAAGCAGGCCTGGAGAAGCTGTACTGGAGCTGAGGGTGGTTGTGCTGCTGGGTCAGGACAGATCAAGTGGTGTCTGCAGGAAGCGAGGGATGATGCCCCTTCCGGTGCAGAAGCATGTTCAAGGTTAGCCTGGGCTATGTGGTGAGATCTCTTCTTGACAAGTTAAAAAGGGGGAAATACATTATAGGTGTCGGCGGTCTGCATGTTTGATTAAACCTCACAGCTCTTCCTGTGATGCACAGGGAAAAGCGCAGTGTTAGTGTTCCAAGGGGAAGGTTCTTGTCTTGTGAGGTCAGGAGGTGACTTTCCAGGCACCTGGACAGTCCAAGTCAAGGGTAGGTGTTTCGACCAGTTTGAACTACCACCAAATTCCTGAAAAAAAAAAAACCAACTTATGTAACTATGACCTGAGGCCCACGTCCGAGGTGCCTGTCACGGCTTAACAACATAGCGGCTAAAGCTAACAGTGAAAAATAAATTAAAAGCTAGTGGAATCAGATGGCGTGACTGTGTTTTTCCTCAGCTTGGGTAATGCAAAGATGTCTGATGAATGGGGCATCTGCTGCTCATTGGTCTTTCTTGGGACCATAGGCACCACGAACATGAACACCTGACAGTTAAAGGAAATGCACTGCCTGGGATCGCCTCCTGGGGAGCAAGAGGGCCGAGCTGTATGCCACAGTTTTCATGTGGGCTCCTGGGGCAGCTCTAGGAGGGGTGAAGGACGGTGGTAGAGCTGGGCTGAATCCCAGCACTGCCGGAGGTTTCCTCCTGAGGCTCCCTTCACATCCTGAGGGTTGGGACTCCGTGCCTGAAGTGGGTGACTGAGAAGGACACGGCAAGGCGTCGACATATTCATGACACAAACCACCCATCTGACTAGAGACATCCTTAGGGCCAAACCTCACAAGAGGTCCAGTGTGGTCACTTTGAGGTTGGTTGGGCGTAACATGTACACCTTTTTGCTACCTCTCTGGGAATTCTCCACAGATTATCCACAGAGAATTGAGCGACTCTCCATGGGTATTCTGAGTGGCTCTCTAGAGCACGCACACTGGCTGCCCACCCTGTCCCCAACTCCCCACACTACAACAAGCTCAGGAGTTAGCATCGGCAAGAGAATGCAAGGTCCCTGTCCTTTCATAAGTTTCCCTCTCTGTTACTGGGCCAGGGTGGGGTTATATTTACACCATAAACCTTGACATTTTTCATGATTTGGGGTTTTTCCTTTAAGGTGGACCTTTGAGAGTCAGCTGTGAGTAAAGTCCCTCTACTGTCTGCTTGCCACTTTTTAGAAACCCACTATCTCAGGATGTTAGGGTCACCTCCGCCCCAGCGCCTCTGAGACTCGGGTAGAGAATGACATGGAGCAGACCCACTCAGGACAGGGACTCATGGTGCAGAGTCCTTCCTGGGTTTCTTTTTGTTTCTGGGTTTTCTCTGCTCTTGCCCCTACAGCACACCAGAAGTAACAGAGGGACAATGCTCAACAAAGAGGGGTGGAGCTTGGTGAGTGCAGGTCTCTTCTTCCACACTCCTCAGAGGCTGCCTTATAAGCATCTTGTAATGCAGGCTGGGGTGTAGCTTGATTGGTAGAGCACTTACCTAGTGGGTGTGAAGCCCTGAGCTGGTAATCCAGCGCTGCGTAAAACTGAGTGTGGTAAACCAGGCATTGGTGGCACACGCTCAGAGGCAGGAGTTTGAGGCCAGCCTGGTCTACAAGAGCTAGTTCCAGGACAGGCTACAAAACTACAGAGAAACCCTGTCTCGAAACACTAAACTGAAACAAAACAAAACAAACAAACAAAAAACCCAAGTGTGGTGGCCCATGCCTGTAACCTAGCATCCCAGAGGTAGAGTCGGGAACGGGAATTCAAGGCCATCTTTGAGTGCGCAGCTTGTTCAAAGCCAGCTTGAGCTACACAGCTCTGTCTTCAGTCAGTCTTATAAAGTACCAACCCAGAAAACCGCTCATCACAGAGAGCAGCTCAGTGAAGAGCTCTAAGCCTGTGTGACCACCAGGGGGACTGACCTGTCAGCGTCCTAGGAATTTCAGTGGAGGGAGCCCCCGTTGCCCACAGGGCCAGCCCTCCCTCCATCCCCAGTTAATCTGCAACTCTTGGGTGAAAGTGAAAGTCAGACAGTTGCTTAAGAAAGCCTCCTCCAAAAGACAGCCGAGAGCTGGGTGCTGGGAAGAACTCGGGTACAGGGCTGGGTCCAGGGTCCGCAGAGGAGGAGCTGAGGAGGCCCTGCCATGTCACAGTCTTGGGTATGTGGAATAAAAAAGAAGCTGCTGTGGCTGGTACACAGGGAGGGAGTGGCGGGGGTGGAGGGGTGGGGAGTGAGGGGTGGGAGTGGGTGGGGCTGTGGGAAAGGGGGAGCTGCCGCTCCCTGAGTGTGAGAGACCCTCCAGCTCACCACCTCACCGCTTCTTGACATGACTCTCACTCACACCAGCTCAGCTCTGAAACTGATTTCCTCAGTCTGATAAGTATCTATGCAAATAATGCAATTAAATAAGCAAATCAGACAAAGCCTGGCATGATAGTGCATGCCTATAATCACAGCAAAGCAGAGGTGAAAGCAGGAAGATTAGCTCAATGCTAGCCTGGGGTACGTGAAACCCTGCTTCAAGAAAACCGAAGCAATTTAACTAACAATTGCGTGACCATGAGCTACAGTGAAGAAACAAACATAAATGAGGAACCAGCTTTAATACACTTTAATATTGGCTTTAAATATGGAAGACTGGCTTCTACCCCCCACAGCTCAGCCCTGAGCTCAGAAGAGGGTGCAGGATCCTGAGGTCCAGTGAGCATCTCCCCCAGTCCTTCAACAGTGAGAGTAGTCAGCTCACCACAGATCACCACCTAGGGTGGCGGTGGGTGACTCCACCCAACTGCTACTTCTCCTTCTGACTGTGCATGTGACATAGGCTCAGTCTGTTACAGATGCAGAGAGACAAAGAGTTTAGACATCTTTAAAAAAAAAAAAATCCTCAGGTCAAAGTCATAGAAACAAGCCATACAACTTGGGTGGTTGCCAGGGGCTGGGGGAAGGAAGGCAAACTGTTTGATGGGAGTCCAATGTCAGTTTTATAAGTCCTGGGGACAGTTATTCAACTGTACATGCATGCACAAGTGTGCATGCATGCTTGTGCACATGCACACATAAGGTACCAAATGTACCCATGAGAGCCAGAAGAAGATCCCCTGTTACAGGTGGCTGTGAACCACCCAAAGTGGGTTCTGGGAATTGAACCTGGGTCCTTTGGAAGAGCAGCTACCAATTACTCTTACCACTGAGATCTCCAGCCCGTGCTATGCAGTTTAAAATGATAGCAAGTGTGCATTTTACCTATTTTTACAAACAAGATGTTCTTTTACAGACAAGAGTTGGGGCAGCAGCACTAACTGCTGTTGTCTGGTACAGCTGTGACAGATGTTGCTGTTGGTCCAGTTCTGCGGTCTAAAACTCCGATGCTCCCAGGGTCCATAGGACCCTGCACCTCTAAGGCACCTGCAGGCACAAAGACCCCAGTGACTTTCTCTGATCTCCAAGCCCCTGCAGTGCCCTTTGGGTAGCTGATAGATGGACGTGTGGCTGTGCTGACAGTCTAGGGCTCCACTCTAGGGCTTTTCCTAGGTTGGCCTGAGCAGTTGAGGTTCATCTTCCCTGCCTGAAGAGGATACCTTAACGTTAACTTAATGATCACCTTTCTTGCTCCTTGGCAAACTGGGCACCAGTTTGGCCTCGTTTCCCAAATGAGAATTGGACCATCTATACTAAGTTGAGTGGAGTCGTAGTCGTTATTGTAAAATCATTATGTGTCTAAGACAGCTCTGAGGGGAAAAAAAGTGATCATTTAAACTTGAACTCCAGGGCTGGAGAGATGACTCAGCAGTTGGGAACACTGGCCGCTCTTCCAGAGGACCCAGGTTCAATTCCCAGAACACACAAGGCTGCTTACAACTGTCTGTAGCTCCAATTCTAGGAGATCCAAGATGCTCATACAAATATACATGCAAGCAAAAACACACCAATGCACATCAAAACCAAACTAAACCCCTGAACTATAGGCCACAAGTCCCTCCTTTTCTGACTTTTAAGTCAGCATTTCCTGGCCAAAAGAGTGCAGAAAAAAACCGTGAAGTTCAGAAACCCTAAACCCAACTCGCTGCGGTCTACCCTTGCATTCCCTGGGAGCAGCTGAATGGATACAAAAGACGGTCATGCGTTAGACTAATTTGGAGGATGTCCCTGAATTTGAGGGTGTCATTTGCTGTAAAAATTCTTTTCTACAAAGTTGTAGACTTTGAGTCTCTGTGCTGGATTTGAACTTGGGATGTCTGACTTTATACAAGTTATTTATTCTTTCCTGTTATTTTATTTTCTTGCAGGAATCACAAAGACAATGGCAAGCGGGCTCAGGACAGAAACCCCATCCTGTCTGTCAGTCGGGATTCTCTGGGGGTAAGCAGGCACATTTGTGATCACTGTCCTTTAGTTTCTACGGTGTTTGACTTTCTAACATTATTCTGTGAGCTAGGTTAAAGTTCTTCCTCACTCTTGCTCCTGTTATTAATTTACAAGTCTTTCCAAGGTCAAGATCACCTTCGGCCAGGCCCAGACAGGTCTGCAGAAATGTTACCTTTTCCCTGGAAGTACAGACGTAAGCCTGAAGTGTGGAAGAGATCAACTTATAGCATTCACCTCCCCTCACCCTGGAAGCGGGATGGGTGTAGGGGAAGGGAGGGCCAAAAAGTGGAGAGAGCCAGCCCTCACTGTGTCTTTGCAATGATCACATCTCTGGCTTAGCATTCAGACCCAACAGGATTTACCACTGCCCAATTCCTTATTCCCTAGTGAGCAAGCACAAGTTTCCAGGTAATTGAAGGGCGGTGTTACAGGGTAGGGGCAGGGCTTGGATTGAATAAGAATGCTTCAAATTACCAGGGGTAGCTGGTTCTTCCACCACTCTGAGGCCAAGCTAACCAACTTAAGAAGTTACCTAATATCTTAGAGTCTCAGTTTGCTCCTCCTTTAAAGGAAGACCAGACAGTGTTCTTTCTAATGTGTGCATTCCGTGGTGATGGTCTTGCTAACTGGAAGGATGCCATTTCCCAAGACAAGATTGCACTAGTGTGAGATCCTTATCTATCACCATGCACAAAACTCAATGGATTAAAGACCTCAACATAAAACCAACCACACTGAATGAACCTCATAGAAGAGAAAGTGGGAAGTAGCCTTGAATGCATTGGCACAGGAGACCACTTCCTAAATATAACCTCAGTAGCACAGACACTGAGAGCAACAATTAATAAATGGGACCTCCTGAAACTGAGAAGCTTCTGTAAAGCAAAGAACATGGACAGCAAAGCGGTAGCCTACAGAATGGGAAAAATATCTTCACCAACCCCACATTTGACAGAGGGCTGATCTCTAAATTATACAAAGCCTCAAGAAACTAGATATCAAAAGACCAAATAATCTAATTAAAAAAATGGGGTACAGATCTAAACAGAGAATTCTCAACAGAGGAAGCTCAAATGGCGGAAAGACACTTAAGGAAATGTTCAACATCCTTAGTCATCAGAGAAATGCAAATCAAAACAACTCTGAGATATCATCTTACACCTGTCAGAATGGCCAAGATCAAAAACTCTGTTGACAACTTATGCTGGAGAGGTTGTGGGGTAAGGGGAACACTACTCCATTGCTGGTGGGATGCAAACTTGTATAGCCACTTTGGAAATCAGTATGGCAGTTTCTCAGAAAATTGGGACTCAACCTACTTCAGAACACAGCAATACCACTCTTGGGCATATGCCCAAAAGAGGCACACTCACACCACAAGGAAATTTCCTCAGCTATGTTCATAGCAGCATTATTCATAATAGCCAGAACCTGGAAAGAACCTAGATGTCTCTCAACTGAAGATGGATAAGGAAAATGTGGTACATTTACACAATGGAGTACTACTCAGCGGGAAAATCTTGAAATTTGCAAGAAAATGGACAGAACTAGAAAAAAAAAAAAACATCCTGAAGGAGGTGGCCCAGAAAGACAAATATAACATACTCACTCATAGGTAGATAATAGAGAAAACAAAGGACAAGCAGCCTACAGGCCACAGTCCCAGAGAACCTAGGTAACTAAGAGAGACATACATGGATCTGCCAGGAAGGGGAAAAAAGACAAGAACTCCTGAGTAAATTGGGAGTATGGAGGGCAGGGGGAGGAGGGAAAGAGAGTGGGGAAAAATGTATAGCACATGCAATTAAAATGAGAAAAAAAGATTGCACTAATGTTGAAGTTTTTTAAGAAGGAGGTAATATAGGAACAAACAGACTGCACTGCCATGGTGCCCATTCGGGTAAACTCAGGGACCCTTCTGGCGCTCTCAGGCATGGTGGCCTGTGTCCGACCATCCAAACAGAATCAGGGCTCCAGGGTAGTGAGCTAAGAGCCAACTTCCTTTTCAAAAGAGCAGAGGTGAGTGTGTGGGGCTTCTAAAAACTTCCTTTCTCTTAGGCTGGAGAGATGGCTTAGTGGTTAAGAGCACTCACTGCTCTTCCAGAGGTCCTGAGTTCAATTCCCACCAACCACATGGTGGCTCACAACCATCTGTAATGAGATCTGGTGCCCTCTTCTGGCATGCGGGCATACGTGGAGGCAGAATGTTGTATACATAATAAATAAATAAATAAATCTTTAAAAAAAAAACCTTCCTCTTTCTTCCTTTCCACCCCAGTGGACTTGTGTGATGAGCTGGTGAGCTGGAACTGGGCCAGGGCTGAGTATGGGAACAAGGGCTCTTAGGGAAGGATGCACACGGAAGGTAACAGCCGCCATGCAGCAGGGACACAAGGCCTGATGCCTTCCAGGGCTGAGTACAGGAATGAGAGCTCTTAGGGAAGGACGCACACGGAAGGTAACAGCCGCCATGCAGCAGGGACACAAGGCCTGAGGCCTTCCAGGGCTGGCTGTAATTCGGTTTTTTACTTTGATGCTTGACAAGTTCTCTTATTTTTATCTAGTATTGCAATTGAAGGCCAACAGCACTGAACTAGAACCTGGAGTTATTTTAAATTCTGAGTCTTACAGCGGGGCGGGGACATAGTTGAAGGAGCTCCCACACTGGTTTATGATCAGATCTCTACGAAGAGACCCCATAGATGATGCTTGGGCTTCTCAGCACTCCATGGTCCTGCTGGTTGATGAGACTAGACAGGAGCTATGCACAGAAGCCTACTCCTAGCACGGAAGCCAGGACCCACTCTGGAAGACAGTAATGGTTGGAGGGTGAAGAACCTACGCTGGGAGGTCACATCCACAGTTCTTTAACTGGCCATGGAAGCGCTACTTGGGGCTTCAGCATCCTCCTGGTGCTGCTGGATCGTTATGTGTTCGAATCTGGAAAGCTGACAGGAAGTGCTTTCTCTGAAGACGACAACAGGGGTGAACGGACTTCCTAGCTGAGGGGACACCAGCCTGGAAGGGAAACGCGGATTCTGGCTAAGTGCTTATGGCCACCAGGGAGACTGCTGTTCAGAGTGTACAGGACACACCCACTCATGCAGGTGGAAAACCTAGCTACTCACTCTGATGGGAATATGAGCCCAAGCCACAAATTGGACAAATGAAGTTCACTTGCATCTTATTGAACCATTCCCAATGGCCAGGAAGTGCAGCCTTTGAGAATTACCTAATACAGAAGCAGGATTAGGGAAACTCTCCTTGCATTAGAGATTGCTGACCAGCAGGATCTGGAACATCGCAGAGAGCACGTCCATTCTTGCAGGCCTCGGTCACAAAGCACCCATTTATCTCTTTACAGAGGATTATATGTACAATGATGTGTGCCCAGTCACCATTAACCCATGCTTGACTACAAAAGCAACTTATATTTCTGTGGTCCCACCTGTCTTTCCAGAAGGTTCTGTTCCAACTGTTCCCACCCCATGCAGCCATGAATCACGGACCCTCTGGGACTCTGCTCTCACCTTTGTATCTGTGTCCCAACACACACACACACACACACACACACACACACACACACACACACTCAAGAGGCAGCATCTTCTGACCCACAGTGATGCTCGGATCTGATAGCTTCCAAAGCCTCCCCTGGAAGTATCACTGACTTCCTGACCCATCTGCCAGGTCAGACTGATCCTGGCACAAGCTAAGCTTTTGTATTTCGCGTGAGGATCCCCATTGTTTCCTCTGCTATGCCACTGCTTTTTCAAAGAGCTCACTGATCTGACCTGTGGAGCCACTTCTTGTCAAATCCTACCCCTTCCCAAGGCAGGACCTCCCGACCTGGGCTGTGCCCTGGTAGTGCTGACTAGCTCCAGGCCTCTCCCTTCAGGTAGCTGTCATCCTTTGCAGACTTAAGCACCTTTGCCAGATGCCTCAGCTGAGCTGACCCTAAGTATGCAGGGAACATTTATGGACGTGTTATGCTCTTTCCTTTCTTCTGGGCTAAGACTATTCCTTCATTCCAAATGACAATAGCTCCTAGGTTCTCTCTGACAAGAAACAAAATATCCCTTGTCCAAAGGACAACAACAAAAGTCTTCCAAGTCAGCAGCAGGTGGGATAACAAGAACACAGGCTTTGACAGTTGGGACAAACCCTCACTGTTACCATGTGGCCTCAGGCTGCTGCTCACCTGTGACTGAGCTGAACAGTAGAGATGGGTAAGTTACCCATCAGGCTGACGTGGACTAGAATGTCTGCCCTAGGTCTGGCAGAAGGGAGGACAGATAAATGTCCTCACCCCATCAGGCCACATGCTGACCCTCCTGCCTGTGTGAATTCTGCTGAGCGGGACATGTCTCCTGGCATGAAGTAACCAGCACATCTACCTGGCACTACACTGTCTTTTATTCTTATTATCCTGTGTGATGCCTGGTGAGGAATCTATAGAATGACTGCACCTTTGCTATGGATTTAAAGAATGTTTCATATTTAAACCTTACACTGTTGAACATTATCTTACTTTTATTTCTGTTGTGTTCAAAAGCAACACAGAAGAGGAAAGGCGTTCACTTGGCTTACAACTCCGGACTACAGTCCATTACTATGAAGGAAGTCAAGACCAGAACCTAAAGCATCGTGGACCCATAACCAATCTCTTCTAACTTTAGGTTTTATCTACAAAATGAATTGGTACTATGTACACATACACATCTCTATGTGTGCACAGAGATGCACAGAGATGCTGAGAAGTTATAAGAACACTGGAGATGGGGGAGTAGCTCAGTGGGACTTGCCTAGTGTACGTGGAGCTTTGGGTTCCATCCCCAGTGCTGCAAACAAGAATAAATTAAAGATAATGGATGGACAGCAAACACTGAAAAGATCTCAATAAACGTCCCTTGTTTTAAATATATTGCATTTATCTAAAGATTATAAACACACACACTGTCTTTGGTTTTTAGATAAAGCTCAGTAACATTCCAGAGCTCCAGTCTCATCCCATTAACCAAGACCGCAGCCTAGCACTGGGCCTGCTCAGTTGGTGGGACAGAGATGGAGTCGCCACCTCAGGGGAAGCTAATGGCACATTATACAGCATTAGAGCCATGAAGGAAGTGGCCACTGGAAAAGTGGCTCCTGACCTGCTGTGGCCAGGGCTGGAGCAGGGAAGGCTGGCCTAAGCCAAGGCAGACGCAAGAACGGGGGTGAGGCTTCCTACTGCCCCACTTGGTGAACTCTGGAAGAAGGGGAGTGTGAAGGCTTGCCCATCCCACAGAGGATTCTCTATTCAGCTGTCTGGGCACCCTTACCAATACAGTGGACATTCTAAAGCTATCTTCCCGTATCACATTGCATTTTCTCCATTGACACTTTTGGGGTAACTGGGGCTACTGGTCTTGAGGCACAGGATGTTAGCTACTAGAGACCAACTAGTTACCATTAACCCACAGTGTTCCCACAGCAATGCAAGAACATAAAGTTTGTCAGCTGTTTCTGATCTGAGAGTCAACCCAGCAGAAAGAGGAAGGAAGTAGAATATGGGTATGGTTAAATTTAGTAAAGACTTTATTCAGGAGTTATCAGGGCCTAATTTAGATGACATGGAGAATAGTAAAAATTGTGAAGAAATAACTTGCCAATTGGTACACACCTTTAGTCCCAGCACCTATGAGGCAGAGGCAGGTGGGTCCCTGGGAGTTCAATGCCAGCCTGGTCTACAGAGTGAGTTTCTGGACAGCCAAGGCTACACAGAGAAACCCTGACTCAAAAAAACAAATGAAAACTAACTCAGTAATTCACAGAGAAAACCATTTCATCTCAATCTTTTATGCTTACAGAACTTTCCCAAGGGAGACATGAACAAATGTCTGTTGATGACAGTTTGGGTACCAAAGGCAGATCGAAGAAATGGTTTTACCTGAGTCTAGCTTAGTAAACCAGTGAGTTTATTTGGGTTACTTAATTAGCAGCTCAAAGGCAGTTGCATCAATGAAATGCCCAGCCTGGGTGACAAAGTCACAAAATCCACATGGAATCTTTGGTGATCCCTGCAGGACTCACGGACAGCTCCTCCCTGCAGGACTCACGGACAGTTCCTCCAGAAAGTGCTTACTGCGTATAGATCCTTGAGGAGGGCTTCACAATGGAGGAGTCTATCAGCTTCCTGAGCCTTATAAGCCTCCTTTTTCCCCTCAGGAATAAACATTTGAATCAAGAAGAAAGTCACACAATGTTACATGAGCTCAAGTCAAGCCTTTAACAAAATTTTAAAGTTCTCCAACTTCTAGTGCTATAGCATACAGTTAGTGAAATACAAAAATGGAATGAATATTAACATACTGTGATTAACAGTTTGGTTTATTAGTTGTTTTAATAAAGTAAAACTCTATAGTGAAAAATAACACAATAGGCTTTTATGATACGCTTACAGTATGACAGACGCAGGTGGACACACCTTAGTAACAGTTGTACAACGCATGAGCACAGGCGAGCGAGCACAGGAGCCGGGCTGTCTGAAGGCTGAGCAGCCTCTGATACCAGAGATCCTAGTTTTAAAGTATGCCAGTGCAGCTTCTGAGGATCACTCATCTTAAGCTAACAAGATAAAAATTCCACTTTATCAGCTATTATGAAGCTTTGGAGAGGAATTCCTTTGGCTGTGATATTTAGTCCTGAATCTCATTCCCTTTTAGAGGCCTCTTCATCCGTGAGTAGGGACTTATTGTGTCGTCCGTCACAAAATCATACAGTACTTTGATCCAGGAGTTGTACTGGGGGAGTTTATCGTAGTACTCAGATGCTATTTTCCTTACCTAGAAGTGAAAAACACAGCAAGGTGAAGGCCTCGAGATGACAGACAGGGGGACAAACACCAACTCAGCCAGAGGGCACCGCCTTGCTCATGGTCCTCCCAGACTCCCTGCCGTTGTTTGTGAGACTGAGAATGCACTGATGGTCATCATTAACATAAGAAGTCGATGCACTGTAGACATTATAAAGACATAAAGCTAAAAAACTGAAATCCTGAATGCAAGAATTAAACCTTGGAATCTGACAGGTGTCTGATGCACACACTGACACATGATGGCTGTGATTCTTACAAAACTGTGAACAAACTGAAAAAAAAAATGCATGCTTAAAAATTGCTTTGGTCAGGTGTGGTGGTACACTCCTTTAATCTCAGCACTCAGGAGGCAGGCAGATCTCTGTGGGTTCAAGGCCAGCCTGGTCTAGAGTGAGTTCCAGGACAGAGCTGTTATACAGAGGAACCCAGTCTTGGGGAAAAAAAAAGAAAAAGAAAAAAGTTTATGTTGGAGCTAGAAAGATGGCTCAGTGGCTTAGAGTGCTGGCTGCTCTTCCACGAGGCTGTGTAGGGTTCCCAGCACCCACATGGTGGCTCACAACTGCCTGTAATTTCAGTTCCAGAGGCTCCAACACTCCCTCTTGGCCTTTGAGGGCAACAGACATGCACACAGTACACATACATGCTTGCAAACATACATACACGAAAAATAAGAATTACAATCAAAAATGCTTGTGAACTGCAGAACTCATTAAAAATATGTAAAAACCCTTTAAAAGTTAAAATACTAAACATACTGTCAGGTGATGAATGACAGGGAGTTATTGAATAAACAAGTTCTCAAAGACAGACATCGTAGCAAGAACAGGAAAGGCAGGGCTTTCAAACTCTAGGGCTGTTTATCATGTATTAACAAAGAATAAGGATACCAAGGAAGAGCAGGAAGTGAGTGTGCCAAGTACTGTTTCAGTTGCTTAAGGGTGGACTGACTCTTCTCCTTAAATCGCGATCCTTTTTAAAAAATATGAATTCCCTCATCACAGAAGAGAGAAGATGGGCCACAAAAACTGCCTGCCAGCACACCAGCAGCATGGCACCGAGGGGCGGGGACAAACGCCACCTGCGCTGTCTGCACAGACTTGGTGCTGCTTTCTTGCCAACTGAAAAGCCAAGAGGACAACACGGAAAACCTCATGTGCTCTTTACCTGTCTCCCAGCTAGCCCTTTGGCACACTTACCTCACATGTGTACCATGTAGGTAACAGAAGCACACTTCTGCTTTCTTCCTTTATGCCAACTCCAAATACTGCAACACTCATTTCCAAAGGAACTTGTCCTACAAAACCCTATCACCCTTATACCTGGGAAATCTAACCTTGACGTATATTTTTTACAGTATGGATTACCCACTGAGCCAGTATTTAGTCTTCCTTAACCAGATCCAAAGAAATAATCACATGCTACAATTGGTTGTCCTGTTGTATGCAACTTTTCAACAGTGTTTCAAACTTTGAGTGGGTAAGTATGACATCATGAAGTATTCGTTAGGATTCCCTTATATATAGCATGGCTTTGCTTTAAAAAGTAAAGAAAAACTAGTTTTCATATATGTTACCATCTTTTTTAGAATTATGGCAAGTTTTTCTCCCCCCCCCCCCAAACAAAACAGGCTACTCACTTTGCTTTTGCTTTCTGTTTTTTTGAGACACGGCTTCTCTGTGTAACCGCCCTAGCTGTCCTAACTTGCTCTATAGACCAGGCTGGCTTCAAATTCATGGAGATGGTCATGCCTCTGCCTCCCCACTGTTGGGCTACTCGCTTTGAAGATGAAAAGGCTGGTGAGAAGGCTCAACAAGAAAACCACTGAAGTTAGGAGAGCCACTGGTTGTGGGAAAGATGGAAAGAATGAAGGCTACAGTGTCCTTTGTTTACCCCACACACAATACACTAAGGTCGGTCTACTGTCCAGAGGCCCTGCAGGGAAGGGTAACAGCATGGGCACTGATGCTGTCCGCTCCACAGATCAGCTGTGCAGGTCACCTCACCCATGTCACATAAGCAACACGCAGATGAGTTATGCAGGTCACCTCACCTTTGTGTGTTACAAAAGCAACACATCTTAGCCAAGTACAACAGCTTAACAGTGCTAAGTGTTCCGTGAAGGGATGCTTCCTGTACAGGACCTGTGTGCTAGTTTACCAGGTAAGAGGTTTGCACATTCCCCAACACTTCTGAACTCTAAGCATGACCACTAAGTCTAAGGACCCAGACAGATCTGAATCTCAGTCAAGTTAGGCTGGCAGACGAAGGATATATGTTCTCCCTTTTTTCAATCTGACAAAACAGATTAGACACCTTCTAAAATAAGCCAAGCACCAAGTCCTTCACTTACCAGGGGCAGGTTTTTTCCAGGAACGTTGGGGAAGTCATGGTGTTCATTATGATAGCCCACATTGAAGGTCAGCAGATTCAGAGGCCCATAATACGAGTATGTTTCGTGTCCCTTTAAGAACATGTAATGTTCAGCTATAAAATGCCCAGAAATTGGGTGCAAACCTAAGCCAAGCAGGGAGGCTGCCAACATGTAGACTAGAGATTTAATTCCAAAAACATAGTAAACTATAATGTCAAAAATGATCTGGGTCACGGTATTGATGATTTCCAGATAAGTAATTGGTTTGGGATTGATGAATAGGGGTCTAAAAGCATAAAAGAGAGGCTGAAGGACAACCCAGACAAGCTTCCTGAAGGTGGTGCAGAAGAACCAGCCCTCAAAATCGGTAGGAATATCCACATCGATGCCATCAGCTCCGAGGTATCGATGATGATCCATGTGGTATCTCTTAAATGAAACCGAATATGGAATTCCAATAGGGAGGTTAGCAAATATTCCAAACCAGCGGTTCCATACCGCCTTGTGGTGGCCGAAGGGGAAATTGTGGGAAATCTCATGGATAGCCAGAGTCATTGAGTGGTTAAGGCAGCTGCCAAAAACATAGGACCAAAATATGACCCATTTCCAGTCCAAGTCTTTCACCAAGTAAAGTGAGATCAGCTGGACGAGAAGCATCGCGGTTATGATCCAGAT